TCTGTAGTTTTATAGAAATCTACATAAAATTCGAACGAATCCGACTCTTAGAATGAGTTTTCTGGGACAGCGATAGGTGGCACAAATGTATTTGTCCTTATGTTCGTTAGATATATATTGGTTGATAAAGCGCAATAAAAACTATTTTTGTCTTGATTACGTGGCTCACTCGGCGTCTGAGTCAAAAGAACGCCAACATGCATATCTTAAAAGGTTCTACAACAAGTATTGCGATTAGATTTATGATAACCCGTTCAATTTCAAGGCGTCTTTTCTAGAGCCCAGTGGGTCCAAGATTTTTTGGGCTCAGACTCTAATTCTGACCCGATAAATCAGAATTTTCAGACCCGGATCTGGCCGATTCAAATCTTTGGAGCCGGACCCAGACTGCTAGCGTCAGTAGATGGCACTCATTGACACTAAACGTTTCTTCATGTAATCTGTTGCTATGATCTCTATTTTGATGTGTTACGTAATATTTTCAATTATGACTAAACCTCGTGATTGTTTTTTGTTTGCTTTTATGCAGTTGTTGATTTTTCTTCTTCCGGGTTATTATCAGTGTTATTATTATTATTATTATTATTATTATTATTATTATTATTATCATCTTCTATATTATTATATTCTTCACTGATGATTATTGTTATACTTCTTCATTAGAAAATAAAATATATTAAAATATATTATTCTATTAAATGTATAACTATGTTACGACAACAAAGTACGGCAGCCAGTCGATGTTAACTTTATAATTGTTTAGCAGACTAACTATTAGCTCTACTATTATAAATTCCCCAAACGAGAGCCTCACACAGACCCGGTACATCAAAAACGCTTGCACCCAAACTAGTGGTAACGCTAAAACTTTGAAACTACTTCGATAGAATTATTCAAATTGAAGTAAACCTCCTTCCATGTTAGAAGACCCCCAACTTGTATCACGCAAACTGTCAGAAGTTTAAAAAATGGTGTTATTATAGGAAACAGATTACTTTCTTAGGCAGTTTTATATTAAGCGAAGGGTTTAGCGAACCTCAACTTTAATCTTTAAATTTAAAGTTAAAACAAGCGCTCTTAAAATTTAACTTTCTAAAAAGTCAAAATTTAAGCGCTATTTTTCAGAAAAAAATTTCAGAAAATCTTTCTTTTGTTAAAATTATCTTTTAATGAAAAACAAATAGTTATGAACAAAAAGATTCCTTTCATGAAAAAATGTATTTGAACTTTAACTCTTTGGACTTCACATTTTAATCATGCTTCCTTCAACTTGAAAGTAAAGTTAAGTTGGTATTTTTAACAAATACCTATATAGTTTATTAATCAAAAATAGATCTCTAACAAAATGTACTCTTAAACTTGTAATAAAATTTTCTAATTGAATCTGGTGGTCGCTTCGAAGATACGGCATACTTCTGTCCTTTTTTGTTATGCCAGTAGTACCTCTTGCATATTCTTTCAACTATCCGATAAAGAGCTTTTAACAATTAATTTATAATGGGCTCTGACTCGTGGTAAGTTGTAATAAACAACTTTCCTTGTGGAGATCCAGGACACCACACTCCACTTGTCTTTACACTTTCCACGAACGAAAGCTGCCCGATTCATAGATTAGCAAGGGTTTCTGAGGTTCAGTGGGTTGTTTAAAGATGGCAGTAACTTCCTTGACTTGATAAATGAAACGGGTAGGGAAACCTCAATGAGCAGCGAGGAAAGTTGCCATAAGTTTCATTTTAGTTAGTAAAAATAAGAAAAAAAAGAACGAAAGCTAAGAAGGGTTTATACCTTCTGGAAAAAGCATCCTGTTGAATATTGTTCGCGTAGAGATGAATCGCGGAACTTGAATTTCGAGTCGAATCTATCCTTGGTAAACAGGTAAGGGGAAAAACTATTTAATTTCTTCTAAAATAGAAAGTTTATTTCGATGTTGATAATACCTTGGAAGATAAAATTAATGTACTTACATTGTCTAGATTTAGTAAAATAATTTGAAGAAGATTTACCGAAAAACAAAACCTAATGAAAAAACTAAAAGGAAAACAAAAGTAGCTAAATTTGATGATAGTACTGAAAATCAACTAGTTGATTCAAATCCAGATCATGAGAATGATAGACTTAACAAAGGGATATATGTCATATAGTTTCAGTCTCTTCCATTTTAAATGATACTGAATAATCAAAACTGCACGAATAAAAGAAAATATTTCTAATGAATCAGCAAACTTATTCAAGAAAACACTTACTGATTGACATATTTTTTCCGATACTTTCAATAATGAACATAATTGAAAAGCATGTACTATGTATCCTTGTTCTAGACTAACGCAAATACAAGTTTTTTCCAGTAATTAAACGACATAACTTCCGATAACTATGTTCAATCTTCTGAACATAGATAGTTTCAAAATAAACTATCTCGAAAAACTTACAAAAAAAATCTTTCTTGTTTATTTAGATGAAAGGTTTTCATTGCGTATTGTCAAAAATGCAATTTTATCATTAGCTATTTTCAATGTTCAGATTGAGTTTTTTTATCTCCAACAGTATGGGAATCACATTTTTTAATAGACTCGTACGAAAATTATCTCTCTTTAGTCGATGATGAAAGCCGTATATTATTTGATTTCTTTTTTTTCTATCAACAATAATTAATTTTCAAGGTGTCCTTTAGTTTTTTTTTAAATTTTAATTTAAAATACTTTTCATGGACTCATAAATATATGTTGATTTATTTGTTTTCATAATCAAAGTAGTTTATTATCAAACCACGATATTCAATATAGAATTTTCGTTATTTTCTAGTGAAAGATGTATGTCACTGTCATTGAATTATAATATTTCTAAGTCATTCTCATTCATGAAAAATTTAACTTAAGCACACGTATTGTACTGTTTTAAACGAGAGGCAATAACACGGATGTTAAAATACTTTTACTCAATAAATCAACATTATTGAAATGGGTTTGTGTAACAAAAGCAATCTCGTTATGGATTTGGAAAATTAAATACAAAAGATCAATGTAAATGAAAAAAATTCATTCGGAATAAAATAATCTAATGTAATCTATATCGACTACCATGTTATTTTTCATTTCTGCAAAAACATATTTCAGAATTCACCAGCTTATCTTTTTATTAACTAACTATTCATTGTTCAGATTCAACTTTTGCAAAATTAATATCTAAGGAGAAGAGATATTTACAAGCTTAGAATATATACATCTCTATGCAGTTTGTATGAATTTATCTGATTATTCTTCAGTTATTTTTGATAAAAATTCTAATCGAATAAAACTACAAAGCTGATGCTTATCTGGCTACTCATCATCATCAACAAAAAGTAGCATACACTTGTTGACATCGAAATCTCATGAAAAAGCCAATCCTACCAAAAAAGCTTATGTTAGAGGACGAAAAAGAAGTAAACGAACGCACAATAGGTGCTGAGAGGTCCTTGCATTTTGAAATAAAAAGTTTTGCTCTGGCAGATCAATCTTTCCATTAGCCTGCTATTTTTCGTCATTGCAACATGTATCCGATCATGAGAGGGCGGGTGTGGGTGGGTGGGCTATTTCAGGTAGCATTTAGAGAGGGACTATTGAGGATTTTCATAAAATAACTAAAATCGTACATGTTGTTTCTGTACTATGTAATATGAACTTAAATAAACATCCTATTCGTAAATAAACATTTTATTAAGTTGTTTTCTGAGCCATTAGTTCATAATAAAACTCTATTACTGATATTGCACATCGTTTCAGATATCTTAGTAACGGCTGGTGTATATTAATAAATTGGATGTTCGGCATATTTTACACAAGGGCTATTAGAGCATACTTAATCATTCTTGTTTTTTGGAACATAGACCTGAAAAAGTCATAGATCATCAGTATTATATATGGTCTATAACTGGTAAAAAAGCAGCTTTTTCTCATAACTAGTTAAAGCTCAATAAGCAAATAAGTGTTGGGGTATCATGTCAGCTGGCCACGCCCTATATCTGTCATTAATGCGCTAAACATTCGTTCGATAACAATAGATTGAGCAACACACACAATTAATCTCGAACAAATCCGATTCAATGATGAAAGCTTTCTTTAATGCATTTGTTTCGATAAAACAAAAAAAGAATCTGTCAATTATCATTTTTTATTGTCGTGCAAATACATTTTATATACTTGGTCTTATTCTTTTATGAGTCCAATATAGGAGACGAAAATAGAATATGATGAATAACAACGTCAGACGAAATGTTTTGCAATGACAACAATTGTCTTGGCTTATTCTCTGTGTCATTTTCGACAGGCTCGCATTAGAGAAGAAAAAATCTGTAGCCAGTTTTTGTAGATATCAACAGTCAGCGTTCTTTTGTCAATTCTTCGCTAATGCATATATCGCTTTATTGCTGCTCGAAGGTAAGTTTACGTTTAGATTTTATCTCTCTTCAGTTAAAGCGGACAAAGAAGAAATCATTTGAGTAGAGATTTTTACAATGTATCATTGGTTTTTTAAATAGTAATACTGTTAACTCTCGAACTCAGCCACTTATAACTGATAAGATGAAAGTATCTGGCATGATGTTATTCATCATGACAAGAATAGCGTGAGCTCTACCCTAGAAAAAGATAAATCGACCTTTAAACATCTGCGCGTAGGCAGCTACACGCATCATATTCTATTTCAAAAATGATGTTCTTTGGCGCACTCTTCCTTACAGGACTCCTGAATATTGAGATTCTAGCAGACTGCAGGCCTAGCTTTTACTACGTGCTGTATAAGCGCTGCGCCGAGCTTGATCGCGTTGGACTTGGCTGAAGTCAGACCAGTACGATGAATAATACTTCAGACGTACTATGTGCCGTCTATTTGATGACTAATAAGTAAGCCTACTTTTATTTACTTTTCAGAACGCTCAGTTTGCAATGTTAGCTTATGTCCTCATCCTTATGATGATCATCGTTAGATGCGTAACGGAATCGATTAACGTAATTAACAATAACATGGCTGATATCAATTTAGCAGATCTTACAGTCTCTATTAATGTGAACAGCGGATCATCATTCATCGACATTTCGACAAAAAGCGGTATTACTTATCATAATTATATTGTCAACCCGCCCAATCCAATTCCGATCAATGATCATAGTCGGCTAGCCTTTGCTGACATCAATGGGGACGGTTGGGATGACATCGTCATGCATAGCCTGTATCCAAATTTGCAAAAAAACATCTCGCTTGAGCATTTAGTATTCATCAATAATGGAGATAGCACTTTCACTCATTTTAGCGACATATCAGGCTTGCGGCAAGTGCAAGCTAGTTTTTTCGTGTTTGCCGATATAGATAATGATGGTGATCAAGATGTGTTTGCCGGTCTTGATTATCCAACTGAAGGTTTAACCAACCATATTTATTTGAATGGCGGTGCTGGGCACTTCACCGTGCTACAAAATTCAGGCGTTGAAGGCGATCCAGGCAATTCTATTGCTGCATGTGCTAGTTTTGCCGACTTCAATAATGATGGCATTCTTGACTTGTACATAGGTAATGGTGGATCACTGAAAGGTGTCGCTGATCAATTGTTCTTCGGTAAAGGCGACGGCACGTTTATAGAAGTAACGACCACTAATCTGCTCGGCACCAATCCTAAACAGCCGACAAACGGTGTGGTCGTATGCGACTATGACAATGACGGTGATGCCGATATTTTCATTTCAACTTATGGCGTGAGCATTGATTTTGGTCACAAGATTTTGTGGGAAAACGATGGCAACGGAAAGTTCACCAACATGGCGGGTGCTCGTGGTATTTTGGCGCAAGCTACCGGCAACTATTGGTTACCTTCGACTGGTAATGGTACTTTGCCCGAACCCGGCAAAGATACCAGCACATACGTCGGTTCGAACGGCTTTGGTATCGATTGCGAAGATATTAATGGCGATGGCTTAAACGATATTTTCTTGGCCTCAATTTCACATCCAGTTGAATCTGATTACAACCGTAAGTGGTCTGATCCAACTCAGCTCTTGATCAATCATATCTTGAATGGTAGCAATCATGTTTTCGTCAACGAATTTCTGAAGCGTGGTTTGCCCTTTAATGAGGGTGACATTGATGCCGGCATTGCCGACTTTGACAATGATGGACGACTTGATCTAGCCCTGACACGCGATACCAAATATGAATCTAAATACACATCTTTGGACCAGCTCGCGTGGTTTGGTCTTATGCAACAAAAGAACGACGGTAGCTTTGAAAGCTTGGGTGTCATTAGTGGTATCAATGATCTCCAAGCGACTAATAAAGCTGCTCGTATGAAAGGTGGGCAGAATTTCGGCTGGAGTGATATCGACCATGACGGTGACCTCGATCTGCTCGTGGGTGGTCGTGACCAAGGTGGCGGTCGCGCCAACTTCTTATTTGAAAACATTGTCGGACAACGTAAACCTTGGCTGGCAATCAAATTGGTAGGCAATGGCGTGAACGTGAACCGCGATGCAATTGGCGCCCGCATAACACTACGTTTTCCCCATTGGGTGATGATGCGCGAAGTAAAATCAAGTCGTGGGACCTATAGTTCGGCCGATACCCGCGTATTGCATTTCGGTCTTGGTGATTTTGATGAGGATTTTACTCTTGAAGTGCGCTGGCCAGATAGGACATCGAAGACTTACATTCGCAATATGTTGACGCTAAACCATTTTATTACGATAGATTACGACATGGGACTACAGCTAACAAATCCTGGAACGTCTTGTTTCCCAAAGAAAAATATGCTGTACTGGTCTGAACTTTCTTTAATCAGTGCATTTTTTCTTTTATCAAATACATTGCAATCTGGTATCAAAATATAACGCACGAAATCTCAATCAGTATTCGCACTCTTTCGTATGGTACCTTTGAAAATTTTATGTTCAAAACTCGTTTCTAACCAACATTTCACATTGCACTATCGAAGAATACACGGTTCTGAACTTCCACAGACCATTTCCAACCGATTTTAGTATCCTTTTGCCATATACATGTCAAACTTGAAATTTCAATTTTCAATTTTCAACTTTTAAACCAATAGCATTCTGAAGAATCGTGCTTCACACATATATCGCTATCAGTCGAAAGTTCCAAAGGAGGGGGGTCGATGAGACTTGAAATCGGCCTACGACAAATATGCTCTCATTCTCTTATCCAATGCTTGCTAACGATGCGAAACAACTGATAATTCGCGTCCAGCGTAACAATCAGCGAACAGATTTTTCTGCCCTGTTTTTGATAGTAATTCTTAGCCATTTAATCACAAGCACCTAAAAACGTGTCGAGACATATGGCAGTCGAAAGCTCCTTTCGAGGGCTTTCTAAGGGTGTCAAAACATGCTCGAAAAACATTGGCGTCAGGGTGCACGGAAGGGAACAATGCGTAAACGTCTATGCTAAAACCGAATTTTTACGACTGTTGCTGATATGGTACCTAGAAGAATTTCCGAGCACAGCGAGCTATATATCAGTCGAAACCTGTTCTCGGCATATTCGTTCCTTCTTGGCTGATTTCGACACAGCGGAGAGGAAATTATAGGTGTTGTAATTATGGGGGCCCTTCTGATGAGATCAGGAGGTTTGGAATTTATGACCTCTAAAGGACCAGTAAGAAATGATGTATGTAAAATGGGAATTATGTAGAAAGAACGGTGAATTTTATACTACTTATATATTATATGATCCGCTGATCAGTCGAACTGTATCTATGCTTCAGCAGTATGGCCCACGTGGTAAACGGGTGGGACGGAGTTCAAGTCGCAAACCATTGAAGTTACATTGCCTTCGGTTGTTTCTTTCCATTCGAACGATGGAATCGATATCAGCTTAGGTGAAAATTTGTGGCTCGTGTCGCGGTGCATATTATGATTGGAAAAAGAGAAACGCTGACTACGATGGAGTTTTTCGAGAATTGATGAAGAAATGTCACATGATGATAATGTCGAAATTGTGCTAAATGAATTTTTTTTCAAATGTGACATTGCTAGTGGGTTTGTGTATGGCTTGTTTAGAATTATCACATGGATACATGTGATGATGATTAATCCAGTGCCTTATATGAAGAGGATTCAGGCAATGGCAAAAAATGCCGATGATTCATTGAATGAACCCAAGGAAGCATACGCTGATTCGATTACTCATGCCGAAAATGGATTTATTACTTTATCAATGAATTGCACAATTTCGTCTCACCGGTAAGAGCTGTAGTTATTCTCATTTTTTATCGAGCTTCGCTCTTTCACTTAGGAACTGTTGTGTTTGCCAGCAGTACCTCGCAAGACAATCTCAAACAGGTCTATCAAATGGTCGAAGTCTTATCTTGCTGATGAAAAACGTTTTCATACCTGAAGGAGCTCGATGTTGCTCTGAATATATTTTGAATGATCAATTGAATGTAGATGCAATCGATCAAATTAAGCTTTCGATTGTGAAAGTCATGAAATTCAGTGCGAGCGATGTGCAGCTATTAATTCATCAATGACAAATTCGTTCCCATATGTTTCATTACGATGAAACTGCGGCGTAGTTACGGCGTAACTGCGATCGCACTGTGACCCGTAATTGTAGAAAATTGCGCCGTAACTACGCGTAACTACGATGAAAAAATCGCAATTACGGGTAGTTACGGTGAAAAAATCCCAGTTGCGCATAACGGCGTCCACGTTTTTCGCAATTATGGGTCACAGTGTCGTCGCAATTGGTACAAAAGATGACATAGATTAGATTTTCACTTTATTTGTACTTTTATTGTGAATTTAAAATATTTTTGCACAAAATAAAAAATTTAAAACTAGAAAATTAAAATTTTTATAAAAAATGAAAAAACAATTTTTAAATTAAAATTTTCACAATAAAAAATAATTTTAAAAATTAAAACCTAAAATAATTTAAAAATTTACTAAGTTAAAAATTTAATAAATAGAAGAAAAAAAATTTAATTACAAAAAGCTAAAAAACTAAAAAGATTTAAATCTAGAAAAATTTTAAAAAAATAAAAAATATGTATTCTACTGCTTATATTAGAATGACTTATGAAATAAAATGTGACGAGCACTGCTATTTATACTGATTTTCTGTGACTGCATTTTATTGTTAGAGTGTAGCCAATTACAAATAAGAAGGAATAATTTATAATTGTCCATTTATACCTACAAGGGATCGTAAGATGCGATCACTAGGACGCAGTTACGTTGATCTTCATCACAGTACGCATAGTTTCTTATAGAATCTCCACTACGATCAATGCGCCATAGTTACGCGTAACTGCGACGCAAAATTGGCTCTGCGCGTAACTGCGGCACAGTTGATAAAAAAAGAGACGACATGGGTTTCCAACAATAGAAGCGCTTCAATTTTGATGATGTTCTATCTGTATCTGATGGTGAATGCAAAGTTTTAACCAGCTTATTAAAGGTTCCATTTGAAGATCTTGTGTGGCAAATATCGGAATCTGGTATTCGAAATTCCAGTAATAGATCTATCCAGACAGCAGTTGCTCTCCTACAGTTTAAACAACAATCCGGAACGTTGAATGCGTGGTTGACTGTTTTATTTCAACTGCCAGACAAGAGGGCAGTATCAAAATGTATCGAAAGTGCTCGAACAGCATTGGTGAATGAATTCGTACCGAAGAATTTAGGATTTTCTCATATTGGACGCGACGAAATCATTCGTCAACATACATCAAAGGCTGCCTTCTTTTAGAAATCTAGGAACAATGAATTTCAACGCAAGTCATTCAGTCTTCATAAAAAATGATCGCTAGTGAAACCAATGCTGATTGTTTCGACTACCGGCTATATAATTGCTTGCATCACTCCGCTTCTATCGAATTAATAAATATATATTCTGAAAGCACGTGAAATTCTCTATCATCTGGTACTGCTGCCAGCCTGAACTTGCATTTGTTCGATGACAAATATTTCGAGCATTGCTATTGTACCTTAATTCGCATGAACTCATACAACAACCCATGAACGATTATCTGTTGAAAACGTAAGAGATATGGATAACGAACCACCCATCAAACCTGATCTCGGTGCTTTTGGGAGTGTTTGGTCTTAGATAAGCAACTTTCCGCAGGGGTATTGCTTGAACTCTCAACAACATGAAACCTATGAGCGTGATGCTTGAGTACACTGACAATACTCGAAAGATTTGCCCTCAAATAATTGGAAGTCAAGGTTGACAAAGACACAGGCTAATAGAGAATTTCACTCGGTTTCAGAATATATATTTATTTTTGTAAATATATTTTCCTACATTTAAAATAGATTAGAAAAAATTAATTGGAAAGGAACAAACAATGAATTTTCTGGGAATCTGACGACGACGTTGCCTTTACTGCACTTGAATTTATCTTTAGCGAATGAGTGCAATTCAAAATGTATATATATTGAGTTATAGAGAATTTCATGGGCTATCCGAATATATAATTACATTTCTTAAAATGTTTATGTATGAAGATGATATATCAAGAATATCGTGCGACATTAATTTTTTCCAGGCGGAAATATGTACATAAATGAACGTATATTATACAGTTGTTTTCCTCTTTATACGCATAGACAAATAAAATGCATTCATGTGATTCCTTTGTATGAATTATCTTACTAAAAACGTTTGAAAATTTTTCCATAGAAGTGATTTATAGGTCAATAAGCGATACGTGTAATTCAGACCTTCGCTCCAGGCAGATCTCAACAAGAAAAAAGAGAGGCGACTGAATTTTTATTTAAAAGTTCCATGCACGAATAAGTAAAACACTAAAAAGAAAAATCAGATCCAACACAAACAGATATTATCACGTTCAAATTCAATTGTATAATGACGAAGTAATTTCTCATGATCGTGTATTTTATTAATCAGTTCATTATCTGTTGCTGTGAGAAGATGAAGACAAATCAATCGAAGATATCGATGGCGATTATTATCCAGTTTTTGTAAAATATATTTGAGAAATGATTCATAATAGATCTTATTCATTAAATCTACTTTGAAATGTGTTAAACGAGGAAAAAATTTAATAAGAAAATCAATTTCTTCGATTGAATTCATGTTTTCAAAATAAACTTTTGCAATTTTACTTTTCGTTGATGTGTAAGACGAAAATATTGATTCGGACAATAATAAACAAAGAAATTTTCAATGAATCAAGTACCGGCAAGCTATTTATGATTTCAATTAATGTACTTGAACAATTGTCAGGTGTTAAAATTTCAAAATAATAAATTTGTGTTTGTGTTGAAATATCACGAAGAGTTAAGTTCAATTAATAACGAGAAATATCCTTTGTAGTAAGTCGAGTAGATGTCGAATATTCAAATAGAAGAATCATTGTCATACCATCGATGTCTAAAAAGAAAAAGAAGACAATCATTTATTCCCTACACAAGAATGCTTTTTTTCAAATAACCTCTATATATATGAACGAATTGAACAGATAATATCAAATGTTGAGGTGTTATAAGATACGCTTGTAGGCTGTTCATTGAAATTACATGAATGATTAATAACAAGATGTTCAATGATTGTTAATTGTTGATCAGTAGCAAGTGGCAATAGGATAGGTTCGATTGTTTCATCGGATGGGTATGAAAGAAATTTCGATGTTGGTAAAGTAAAAACTAATCGATAAATTTCAGTTGAACTTCTTGATGTTCATCCTGTATCAAGAGTTAATGAACAAAGGCGAGATAGACAAGATAAATTAGTAAGAATTGAAATTAGTATTTGCAGTGGAATTTTTTCAAGAACAAGTGGCTCGAGACATGTCAATGATGAACCGATTCGATATAATGAAAACAAATCACGCTTTCTTGATGGTAGTGATACAGGCTATGAAAGAATTTGTTGTTTATTATTGTTTAAAAGTTGTCGACATGTGTTCATGTATGTTTCATCCTGTGATGATCTTATGGTTATTTTCAATAGAAGATTTGATGAATTAAGAGGCTCCGGAAATCGATGATTAAGATGTGAAAATGCTTGGTATATTGTAAAACCATCAAGATAATCGAATATTTCATAGAAAAATTCGTTTGATAAATTCTCAATAGAAGTAATCGACATGTTTTTAAGTTACATAAATTCAAATAAATCGCAGCTGGTTGTTTTCTCTTCGTATAATAAAGTATCAAAAGTACATGTACATATATATAGTATATATGTGTCGTAGGATAGATTAAAATCCAGTACAGTTTTAAATCGAACTAGGACAGATTAAAATTTTAAAGTGAGCTAGTTGACTTCGAAATGCATTTTAATCTCAGCTAGTTGACTTTAAAATTTTGATCTGAACTAGGACACACTAAAATGTTTAGTCAAATTATCCGTGGCTGGCTGGTAGAAGATACGCGTTGGGGTGACGACAAGGGTCTATGGTGAATGATGATGAGTGAAGATGGAACTATTACACGCGTCCTCGCGCTCGCCTTCACTTTCACCTATTATCCATCCAAATGTGTATATTTCAATCTGAACTAGTTCAAATCAAAATATTTTAATCTGTCCTGGTTCAGATCAAAATATTTGAAACTGTTCTAGTTCAGTTTAAAATATTTTGATTTTTCCTAGTTCAGATCAAAATTTTAAAGTCAACTAGTTGAGATTAAAATGCATTTCGAAGTCAACTAGTTCACTTTAAAATTTTAATCTGAACTAGGAAAAATTAAAATTTTAATCTGTCCTAGTTCGATTTAAAACTGTACTGGATTTTAATCTATCCTAAGATATATGTTATTATTACTTTCCTACATCTACAATGTCTCCTTGATAGGATCTTTTTATTGTTGAGACCAGTGTTTTGCTCCGGGAGGACAGACAACATCTTTTTAAGGGATAATAAATATATCAGAACAAAAAAACGCTGTATCAGCAAAAGACAAAAGACGAATAATCAAAAATATAAGAACAATGTCAAGTTCTATCATGCAATTGAAAATGCTAAACGACACAGTTTTGCTTTTTTTCAGTATTTAATAATTTCCTCTTTCATCTCTTCATCTAAAGTATTTGCATCTTCAATTGATCGACGTATTCGGTTGTGAAGGATGTTGATCTTTCCACTAACGACAAGCTCGCACACCTATACAAATATTTTAGTATGCATATTTGGCATCAACAAAATGAATTGAATGAATAATTATATTTATTTTAAATGATTATTCAGGTGTTAACATATCCAGTAACGATTGAGATAATCGAGGAAATTATATTAATGTGAATTAAGTCGATGTAAACAATGAACTACTCCTTCAAATATGTTCTTACAAATAATCTGTTTATTTCGGAACATCATAAAATTAATGCCTCTATTGCAGCACAAGGGCCTATCCCGGATACACAAGAAAAGACACACTAAATACACATCAATTTTTTGTATAAAAAAATAATTCAAAATGCTTTTTTTATACAGTTCGGTATTTGTTGTTCTTCTTTGTTTATTTATTTATCCATTGAATTCAATATTGAATTTTTGTACTCGATGATTTCCCAAATCTACAACGTACAGATTACCGTTTCGATCGAATGATAAGCCGTTGGGCGCATTGAGACGATTTGATTTTCTTCCTTGGCCGTTGCCACCAACAATGACATTTCCCTGTGTGGCTTCTTTGGGCCAACGCATGATTCGAGCATTCCCTCAGTCAGCCACATAGACAGTGCCCAATTGATCGATAATGACTCCTCCAGGATTTGACAATTGTGTAAGACCATTTCCTCGCCATTGATCATCAGCCACGATAATACTTTCTTTCGCACCTTCCATCCATTTCATCACACGATGATTTTCCCAATCAGATACGTACACTGAATGATCTCGATCGAGGAAAACGTATGTTGGACCAGAGAGTTGATCGAGACGATCTCCACGTCCATTGTCACCTGCAACCACTGTTCCTTGATATTCTACTCTTCGATATCGTCTCACTTCAACTTTTGCAACGTCAACGACATAGAGAGATCCATTCTCGTTCATTGTCAAACCCAAACAATCGATGTTCGAGATGATGAGACTATCTCTCTCTTTGTCAACAATCACATCAAATGGTTGAGACAATTGACGAGCCTCACGTCCTTTTTCATTTCCACTTGCAACCACTTCGCCGCTCTTCACATCCGATTTCCATTCCATAATACAGTGATTGGGTCGGTCAACGACATAGACAGTTTGATCATCATCAACATACAAACCGCATGGGTTCGAGAGTTGATTGAATCCATTGTCCTGCCCATTTCCTCCAGCTACAGTGAGACTATTTTGTTTCCATTGAGCATTTGGATGAATGTCGATTGAACAACCACGTAGTGGAATGACTAAAAAATCGATTGATAGAAAGGAGAGGAAGATAGATTTGAGACGAGAGAATAGAGAGAACTATATACAAGAATTAAAAGGAGAGATATTATTCTCATTCATATGATAATTAAAAATGATAAAGGGGCAAACCAAATGGCAACAAGAAAAATAAATATTACTTAGATACATATGGGTCTTGCTTATTGCTCATTGTATTCTGCTTTTTTTTCTAAATTTCTTATTATATTTATGTGCATTAGAATTAATTAATGTCAAAGTATAGCACTCATTCAGTATTACTTTATTTTTTCGAAACTGTTTTAGCTACATCGTCTCCTGAAAACAAATACACAACAATTATGTTGTGTATTTTTGGGACTGTAACTCATCAGTGATAAACACAATGACAGATTCCAAGAGCCACTTTCTCGAAAAAAGAATGATAGGACAACATCTCTTTTGTTCGGTTTTAAGAAACTCTGTGGGATTACTTTAAAAAAAACATGAAATACATACTTCGACAGAATCATTGATCTTTTTGTAGTATTACTTAATCTACGTCATGTTAGTTATTTTTCTAACAATCTTAATTGATCAATACAAAAATGCGGATGTGGAATTGGAAGTATAAATTGAAGGTCTACACACCCACACCATGAAAATGTTGTTGTGACAAAAGCGGATTTCTCAGAGAAATGTGAAGCGGTCTATAACCTTTCAGAACTACTCGTAGATGCACACTACAAGTTACTTTGGATGAAATAAGTAAATTACTTCGTAGCCTATGTTAAGCTACCTATAACGAAGCTTTTAACCTTCAAACGGTCTTCAGGCAGTGGTATTCAAGACTTTAGCGAGGAAAAACATATATGATGAGTATAGGTCACTCATATCCTTCCTATCACATTTTCCAGTGACGGGAGTCATTTTTTGGAATCTATTGTCACCGATAGTTTTTACGACTTTAGAAGTAGAATTCGTTAGAGGTAACTTCAGATAGGTAGTCCCACTGAATCCCATCTACCTGTAACCTTCTTAATGAGTCAGGTACCAATTAGAAACCAATTCTCGGTAGACGGCTTCAGAAAGACAGCATCCTAGAATCATTTATTGAAACTTTGTATCTGTACGAATTGAAACTATTTTCAAATTTCCTTGAATACGTCTGAAGAACTACACAGTAAAATACAAAATGCATATATGAATTCATAAAAGATATTCTAAGAATGTCCATACGAATTCAGCGACGAGTTTCTATTGAACAGAAAATCGAACATTTTCTAAAATATTGATATTCGGACTACGAATAATAAAACTTTCTAACTTTTATAACCTTTTTAGTGTCTATTTTCTACAAAAATAGCATTTATTTTAAATTTACAGCATTTATGGGGTGTGGGTGTGGGTGTGAGTCTTCTTTTAATCAATAACCACACCTACACACTCTGGAATAGCGAGGAAGTCTGAGCAATTTTATCTAACTATAACAGCTTTCAATATTCATGGCATTTCTAATGCGTCCCGCAATCTCACGATGTGTGAATGACAAGGTAAACATGAAGTATAGATATCAACCAAAACTCAGAGATAAATACAACTTGGAATACGAAATTCAGTGTGTCAAAAGCGTTATCTTCCCTTTCATATCAAAATCAAACTTCTATTTAGCCAGCATTGCATTTTTCTAGCATCTCCTGTTCCAGATAGATAACCTTTCGTGTCTACTCAATTAATGAAGTGCAAGTGAAACATAAGTTTTCATCTAAATCATAAGAATATTATGTTCATGAACTCAAGTCATACATCTACAGTCATCATACTCAAAAGCGCTTATTTTCCATCCATCTGACATGTGAATAAGCAACTAACTAAAAACTACATTCGAGAAAATCAAAATATTTTAAATACGTTTCATTGTTGATATTGGTATAAATTGTCTCTTAACAGAATGTGAAAGTTTTATAACCGATACGGCAGCTATTAAGCTAGATTCTGATATAGTAAATCCCATACGGTCAGAGAGACAGTCTCAGAATTATATTATTAAAAATTTGAGCTCTTAAAAATAACAAATATCATATGTATAAACAATATAATCTTCATTTTTTGTATTCGAGTCGTGTACACAAACACACATAAAATATCAATCTCTTGATGAATTACATACTCATTACATTAAATGATTTAGTTGGACTCGTCACTTGTACTTAAGAGTCATTTAGTATTACATTATTGTAATTCTCTATCACTTGATATTCAATAGTGTCTAGCTTCTTATTTGAACAATAAATTCAGCTCAATTTTTTGAATAAATCAATACTATGAATAAAATAATGATCTTTATCAATCAACGTGAAAAAATAAAATTTATAACTACAAAAAACATGTTTATTTAAAAGAATGAATGAAAAACATTTCTTACCACAGGTTTTCTGGATGAATAGAATTTCGATTGAAGAAATTCATCGCTTGCATGACATCTTATCTTCAAATCTCACTGTAATTTGCAATAGATAACAATTCAGGAGAAGAAAAAAAAGGAAAAAGAATCAAAAAAATTAGAAAGAAAACTATAATATGACCTATCGAACTATAACACCTTGAGCAAGTCTAGCATGATCGTCAAGCATATGTTTCAGATCGTTACAACAACGGTTACCCGGTACTGAAGATGACTTCGAAGTAGAAACTTGAGGAAATATGAGACGACAGTAAGACTTTGTAGTTGATGATTGTGAACAATTAGTTTTATTCTCAGAAGACGGTGATGATGATGATGATGAACTTCCGCTATTCAGTTTATTTTGAATAGAAGTATGCGTTTTATGTCGAATATAATGATCATAATATGGATTTTGATGTAAGACAGACAAGCATCGTGGAGGTACAACAATTTCAGGTTGTTTACTAATTTCACCAACACGGCAACCGGGATGCCAAACAAGAATTTGTGCACTATTTGCCTAGAAAAGAAGAAGAGAAAAAAAGAAACGAATAAATATAAACGAAAAATTAATATTAATAAAAATAAATTTACATTTGGAGGGTAAAGAACACACGTCGGGATTCGAATATTTTGTTTGAGAATCTCCGGTTGACTCGGTGCTGGATCAGAAATAAGTATTGCGCGTGAGCCTTGCGCTTGCGTTGGATCAACGTTTATTTCAAGGTTCATTTGCCAACTTATTGTTTTAAGTACAAGTATTGAACCAGTTTTAACATTCATTGCAACAAGCCATGTATAAAAACTTTGATGACGTTTTACATTTGTTAAACGTAATAAACGTTCATTACTTGTGGGAATATCCCATGTTATATGTGGATAAAAATTATCATTCATAATAACTTTTATTGTTTGGTAATCTAGACATGGTCCATGAAGTTCGCTTACTTCAGATTTGGAACCATAAAATGGATAATTGCGTCCATCAGAATCTGATATCATTGGATTTTGACCAGACACTAATTGAGGAAATTCCCAACTTGAATAACCACAATCGCCATATGAATTTAAAAAATCCATGCGTCGACATGATTGAATCCAACCAATTTTCCAATGTGCCCCGTCTTCTAGTGGAGGAAATAGAATAGTAGCTGTAGATCTAAACATTTCAAAACGAAAAAAAAAACAAAAGTAGAATTGCGAGTTTTGTCTTTTTCTTTATTCGTATTTTCATATACCGAAAATGTGGTGTTCGATATTTTAAAACAGCTGGATTCTTTTCATCGATTATAGTCGGACGATTTTCTATTTTAGCGTCTAGTTCAAGTATTCGTATTGGTACTATTGATTGTGGAGGTTTTTCATTTGTTATTGTTCGTATGGCAGGAGTCCGTTTTGTTTTATCAATTAATCGACCCATTAAATTCATGCTATTGTCAACTGTTGTCGAAACAGTTTGTGATTGTGGGACATTGGCAAAGGCCTATCATTGGAGAGAAAGAAAAACCAACTTTTCAATTTGCAAAAAAATCAATCATATGTATGTCAAAAAAATACAAATGACTATGAACATATTTTTGTTGCGTCTTATCTGATTCATAAAAGTAAATTAATTATTTGTAAAACTTATGATATTAGGATTTTTATTTATTGCCTTGTACCTGAGAATAGGAAGGAGTTTCGCCAGGCCAATAGCCAGTAGGAAAATATGGATACGTGTAAAATTGCATAGTATACACGGTTTGAATAAATAATAGTGTCTAATAACTACTATTAAGGTGAATATTTGTCGTTGTGTAGAGAGTGAGGAAAAATTAAACGTATGTTATTTTGACATCGATGATGATGATGCTGAGAAGGTAATGTTTTCATCGTCCTTCAAGATCACCATAATCACCTGTTGCTGGATCCTAAACGTGTACGTAACATTCGTTCTGCCATCTCACGTTAGAGAATAGTCTTGCGTTTTCTCTCTCTCGCTCGCTTTCTGTATGTGCCTACTACTTGTCAATAGATTTTCGCGTTTTTTGCACTACTACTAAACGTTAGTGGTGATGATGACGACGTCGACGATACAAACTAAAAACATCTAGTTTATTTGCGTTCTCGCTTTTTAAATATTATCGAAAAAAAGAAAAAAAAAAGATAGAGAACAAGACTAATATGAATAACTTGTAAAAGAGCGTATCTTTAAATATGTACAGAAACAGGCGTTATGGTACGCCTTAGCTCTCGCCAAAATAAATGTACAAAAACAACTTATTGAAAAAGAAATAACCTTGTATTTTGTTTTTCTCTGATTATCTTGTTTTCTTCGTATACAAACAGTAATTACAAAAATGACTTCTAATACGAAATAAACGACCAAATAAGATATATGATGTGTCAATTCAATCTTTTCATTTTCGTAAATATCATCACCATTGGTTGTAACAGCTATCATTGCTTCAATTTAGAATAAATAATAATGTTTGTTGTTAGTTTTAACCGAATGCATTTCTTTACACATGCAAAAGTGACTGCGAGTTCAATAAACATACATGTGTAGTAGTGCTGATGTGAAAGAGAGAAGAAGAAAAAAAAAAGGAAAAGTGTCGAAGTGTATGTGTTTTGTTTTTTGACGATGTCGTTGTTGATTTGAATAAGAGTAAAATAAAATAAAATAAAATATCGATGAGCGTCATAAATTTTATGTAGGAAAATGTTTAGGTTTACTAATGATTTTGCAGTTGAACTAATGATGTTCGATCAAATAAGTATGTCTGTATATGAACAATATGTAAGCATACAAGATATGATGAATAAAAACAACGAATAGTACACACAATCAAAGGAGTGAAAAAGATAGATAAACGTAACACCCATCGTGATGTGTCACATGATTTGCCATATCGATACAAAATCATCCGACTTTTTAATATTTTTAAGACAAGAACAAGAAAGATAAAAATATATCTCGATTTCTTTTTTCTCATCATCAATCATCAATAATCAATTATGAATTTTTGTTTTTATTCGTCTATTTATATCGTTTATCTATTTTTATAAATTTTTACCTGCATCGACATCTGCAAATGAGACACAATATTTTTCTTCAATGTCCTAAAGTCATAACTATGAAGAAACATTATACGGCATTTTTTTTTTGTTTTAGGTTGACGAATGATTAGTTTGACATTGAGATATTCTCGAGAGAATGCATGAAATTTGATATAGAACTTCAAGAAGAAAAGAAATCGAAGTATTTAACTTTTAAAAGCTATGAATGGAAGTTTTCAGCATCGTAAGCTAATAACAAAATTACCTTGCTTTTTTTCTTCTGTTGTTTTTACTAGTCTTGTATTCGTGCAAGTGAGATATTAATTGCGGTGATGATGACAAAAGAATACGTCTGCATCACCAAAGTTTCCTGTTATATGTGCAAAAAAAAGAAAGAGAGGAAAAGGTTTCATTTTGTGTGCAAGCTGTAAAACATGTGAATATATGTTCGTATGCATACGAACGACAAAATTACAAATAGAGTCTATCTTCTCTTTCTTATTGTCATCTAATTCCTGCCTAAATATGAACTAATCTATTTCTTTCTAAGCGACAACAAAGTACACAAACAACTACAGATGATTTTCGAATAAAAGAACAGAACATAAATTTTGTTGTAATGATGTAATAGTCTACGACAGCTTGTCTTTTTTTCCAATAAAATATATGGTATTGCTCAATGAAAAAGGGCACGATTTTAATTTGATTCTAATAGTATCTCCTACACAATCATATTTAAATGAATCCTTGTTTTATATATGTTTAACTTTGAGTAGAAGGACAATGTCGATATCAATCATTGATTAATATAATATGTTCTTGACTAAATCTATGGCATGTCTTTGAAATATTATTTTTTTATCCTTGTTTATTTTTTTTATTAGATAAATTTTCTCTATATCACAGAATACACATTCAAAAAAGAAAAGAAAAGAAAAGAAAACAGAACACAAAAGAAGAAGAAAAAGCATCATAAATCGTCTTTAAGTTTTAATGACGATATTCACGCGATTTGGAACGGTGCCGAGATGATGATCTACGATGATGATGATGATGTGGTCGATGTGCTCGATTTCCATTATCGTTTTCTTTATGTGATGATGTTGTGTGACGAAGAAATGCATTGATTTCTTGTTCGTACTAATGGTTAAAACAAAAGATTAAAAAATAAAAAATGTAAATATCGTTTTTACTTCAGTTGTATTATGAGATATGGATGAGGATGGCTGAGGTAAATACACATTCATAGGTTCTGTATACGTAGCTGCACTATGCATACTATGAGAATCATATCCCATTGTATAAAGACCAGTTGGATCGTAGACCATTGGATAGGGCTGTACAAATATAAAAAGAAAAACAGAATTGAATACAAAAACATAAGACATGATCTAAGCTGATTACCGCTGATGGAAACATAGGTGGTACATATCCAGTATATTGTGCTTGAGATTCAAGCATGTATTTTACATAATCTTCATAGGTCTAAATAATTGAAAGATAACTCGAACAAACATACATAGTTGAGCGTTAATCTTACTCCACTAGCCATTATATGTGACATTCTTCTATCAACATTATTAGGTAACGGTACATCTTCGTTACTACGATGTGAACGTTTTCGAGTTGGACTACGTTGAGTACCATGATCTGAATGTGATGATGCTATGAAAAGATGAATAGAAAAAAAGGAAAGAAAATAAGAAGCATTTCCAAGACAGTAGGGACGTAACCAGAAAAATATTATTACGAGGGGGGGGGGTGCTGATTTTTTCTAGGTGATTGAGGCTTCCTTCTAGTCACATTTTTCGAAGAAAGAAGACGTTTATTCGGTCTGGTTATATCATTCGGAAATTATTTTCAATCGAAATTTATGTATATTTATCGTACGATCTCTTGAATACGCAAGTTAATCGAAAAGAGATGATTCAAATTTCGATCTAACTTATTACAAAAATAGAAATTTTTCTTTCATTATGATGAACATACTTGATTGATGTCGTCGTTTACGATGTGGTTCTTTACTGTTACGATCTCGACTTCTTGACCGATGACGTCTAAATTAAGATTAAGACATATCACGAATTGTACTTAGCCATTTATTTTCTTATGTCGTGCAAGAAAATTAAAGCAACTCGATATTTTCTTTTTTTTTCTTATACATAATCGAGTTCTCAATTTTGCTAAAAAAAAACATTTGTTTGAAAATAAAACAAATAAATAATGTCTCTAATAAATATAAAAAGTTCTTTGACGAATTTTTATTATTATTATTTTCTTTCTTCAAGTTCATGAGATAAATCCGGCTTCATCTTGTTTTCATTGTAACATTTGTGACCAATGGATAATTCGAAAAAAGAAAGGATACCTCTATCATCCAACACCTGTTTTAAAAGTTCTGTACTGAATTAAATTAGTATAAAATATGATAGCCACATTTGTAAGACGAATAGTTATTAGATAAAGAGTCACGTCTGACCTATGCCGATCAATAGAAGTGGACGAACGATGATTTATATGTTTCGAAGGATTGATTGATAATGGCGATCGAGATGGCTTGTGCTTTTCGGCTTTTCTTGAAATTGACACTAAATCAATGGTTGGATCAGGTGGAAATAAACGACATAAAGCTTCACCGCAACGTGGTTCAATTTCCTAAATAATATTCATCATTTAATAGAAAATATTCGTGAAATAAACGATAAGAAAAGAAATACCTGTCCATCACGTCCAATTTTAACAGGTTTATTTTCATTCCATGGATTGAATAAATGTAGAGTTTGATTAAATGGTAAACTTCGTCTAAAAGAAAAATGTTTATTTTTTTTGCTTTTAATCAATTCTGATCACGAAGTATGAGTATCATAGCTGAACGAAAGGCTTTGTTCAATAATCTTTACTAACCGAGAAATCCAATCAATATGAATAACACCAGAAAATGCTCGATTACTCATGCCCGGTGGTAATACCCAATTAATTGGTTGACTATCATGACGAGCTTCACCTGACATACGAGCGAAACCTTGAAATGCTTTGCTTTCAGCCACTGAGAAAATTAAAATCACATTGCGATGTTGCTAAAATATAAAAAATACAGTTAGTTTTATTTTCTTTCTATTATATTTACTCGAAATGCTCGATTAAGTTTATTTTCATTGGCAGGTGGCGTTGACCATACACCCTTGAAAAATATAAAGATTTACTTCAAATAGTATTTCTTTGACTCTACATTACTTTAGCTTTGGCTAAAGAAACATTTTCGTCATTGCCACTTTTGATTAGAAAATACACAGTATCATCCAATATACTTTGTAAAGCAGCCTTATCTTTTTCATCTAAAGTTCAACAAAATATTTATCAATTGATATTCAGTTTTTAATCATTTACCCATAATTGGTACTGGTTGTACTTCAGTCGGAGTTTGTATTGAATTCACTGACGTTGACTTATATTGTTCATTTTCTTTGGTGATACCAGTTGACATCTGATTTGATTGTGAATCAACAGATTCTTCTATTAAAAAAATTAGTTTCAATCATGTGAAAGCTGCAAACATCAAACTAATCATAGATTTGATAGTTGCTCTGAGTAGATAAACAAGTACGAGAGAAATTTTTCTTTAGCAAAACAATGAACACGACATTTTATCATCGAACACATGGGATTTAAACCAGGATAAAAGTAATCGGAAATTTTTTTTCTCATATGAATAAAACATTCGCAAGATGACGACTTAAACAGATGCTTGAAACCTTCGAGAAAGCTCAGCTTTTTTTATTTTTGGATCCAAGCCTTTTATATGTGTGTCATTGAGTTGTATTATTAAGTTAATAAAACATCGATATTTACCATTCGGATAATAATCGGCTATTGTAACGATGTTTTCGTTTGATATTTGAGTTTCAAGGTTATTGACATTTATTAATTCAGTTGGTGTTATTTCGTCGTTATTTTCTAATGTCTAAAAAGAATAATAATGTCTGTTATAAAGAAATTTTCATTTTTTCATCCTCTTACTTGAGCTTCTTCGACAGAGTTGCTCTCATGATGATGTGTTTCTTAGAAAAAAAAATGAAAATTTAATCTCTGCATTTCGAATATTTTAAAATTAATCTATAAATCTGGCTTGAGGGTGTAGCGACCGATAAAAAAATATACAAAAAGTTCTATGTTAAAAACGAAGAATACACGAGTTGCTCACGCTATGCTGTTTGTTGAGTAGAATGACATTTAGATCAGTTCTTCAGTAGAAACAAATTAAATGTTATCGGCTCTGTTATCTTATGAATCACTTGTATCTCCTATTTTCTATCGGATTATACCAAAACAAAAACAATATTTGTATTACATCTATCCTTGATTTTATTATCAATGTGTATTGTTTACAAGTAGTTTCCTTATCGTTGACTTGTTTAGTGTTTCAACCATAAATCCTCATGAATATCAAAGAGAAATGGGAAACAATAAAATTCATCATAAAAAAAATAGTATACATTTCTTTTCTTGTTGGAAATCTAAAAGTTGCACTTAAAGACCTTTTGAGCGAAACTAAGAATTTCTATCGAGATATCAACAATAAATACATACTTGATACTGATGAAAAATCATCAACATCGATTTCTGGACAAATAAGGTCAAGTTCAACTAAAAAAATAATGATAATTAACTACAAAGAATTTGACACAAATTTTTCCTACCTCCCGACATTTATTCTTTCAATAAGAAACGAAAGGAAAGAACAAAATAGCCATTCGGATTAATTATTTAGCGCGAGCCTCTATACTGACTTACATAGCACACTTATACACTTAGAAGAAATTGTTTTCAATAGTATTACAAATTTATAAATTTTTCCATAAATATTTTTTATAAATAATTTATTCCATAAATTGCGAACATAATTTCAATAAACAAATATTCGGTATGTCCATACAAATTATGGATTGGTTTGTTTCTTTCATTTCATTCATTTCACAGAAGATGGTTACTGGTACTTTACTATAGAACTTACTTTTTTTGTTTGTCTTTTTTTTTATAGATCATAATAAAGGACTTTAACAGCTAAACAACAAACATGGGTGTAAGTATTTAGAGAGATTTCTGAAAAGGTTTTATTCGATCGCTTATTTCTAGTATCGTGGTATACGTAAACATTTGAAACGACTTCATGCACCAAAACATTGGATGCTTGATAAATTGGGTGGTGTTTTCGCACCCAAACCATCATCTGGTCCACATAAAACACGCGAATGTTTACCATTGATTATATTTTTACGTAACCGATTGAAATACGCTTTAACATATGTTGAAGCTAGAAAAATTTGTAAACAACGTCTCATTCAAATCGATGGTCGTGTACGAACTGACTTTCTTTTTCCAGCTGGCTTTATGGGTTTGTTCTATGAAATCAAATTCGGTATTTTTTTTATTTTATTTTTTTCAGACGTTATTACAATTGAAAAAACAGGTGAACATTTCCGTTTGATCTATGATGTTAAAGGACGATTTTGTGTTCACCGTATTACACCAGAAGAAGCTAAAGTAAGTTTTCTCATTCAATATACTTTGCTGTTGTTGATTTAAAACTTTCCCAGATGTCTTCTTTTTTTTTATTAATTTCGACAGCGTAAAAGCTGATGTTTATTTTTCATCCGGATCACTTCAGTATCGATCTAACAATTCACCTAGTACAATAAATACGCGAAAGATGCATGCAGCATTTGACCTCTACCTATAAAAAAAAGATTTTACATGCGAAAATTTTTTTTTACTCATGCTTGAACTACTTACTATAAATCATACTGGCAAAAAAAGTCCCCGAGACAAGAAGGCTTCCAAGTCATGAATCGGTTAGAATCAAATCTTAATACAGTATTACGAATATGCTATACTTTTACAATGTTTCTTTAATAAACGGCGTGGTTCCTCGGAGTAAGCTTGAGATTCTATGGTAATAGTTTCTGATGAAAAATTCATTTCTTTCCATTATCTTCTACATTAAAACAAGATACGCACGAGATGGCCTTCTTTTAGCTGTATCCAAAGATAGATGTAGCTTTCCGTTTCGAACTAGTTGTTAAAAAATATTTCTTATAACCAGCAAGGTATTGTTTGAAAAACAGAATAAGCTGGTAATACCAAGTCTATCTAGCAAGGTCACTATGTTCATATCAGATATCGGTTCCAAGATTGATTCAGCTCTCTTCGTATAATATCCCATATGAACCTATATTCGAATTTGTATACTCATGAAATTTATTTGTAGTACAAATTATGCAAAGTTAAATCTGTACGAATGGGTCCAAAGAAAGTACCATATATTATTACACATGACGCTCGAACAATTCGTTATCCGAATCCACATATCAAGTCCAATGACACAGTCAAGGTTGATATTGCTACCGGAAAAATCGAAGAACATATTAAATTCGATACAGGTAACGTTGTCATGATCACTGGTGGACACAATTTAGGTCGTGTTGGTATCATTCAATCACGTGAACGTCATCCAGGTTCATTTGATATTGTTCATGTTAAAGATTCAAATGGACATACATTTGCTACTCGGTAAGCGTTCATTCAGAAACCATAATAGATTCACCTCATACTTGAATTTTGTTTAGTTTGGCTTATGTATTTGTTATTGGTAAAGGACAAAAAGCATGGGTATCATTACCAAGTGGTAAAGGTATTCGTTTAAGCGTTGCCGAAGAACGTGACCGACGACTTTCTGGTAAAACTCATTAAACATCAACAATAAACTAACATCATTATTGATTAAACGAAAAGAAAGCAACAAATTCTCGCTGTTTTTTATTTGTTGATAAAATAAAAATAAAAAGAATTGAACAGCCGATTTCTAAATAAAACAAAAGCATTGTTTTAGATACGTAAAAATATATCATGGATATTGATGATGACGAAGGTTTGAATGAAACAACAAATGTTTTAAATGACGGCATAACATCAACAGTTGATACAGATTTTTATTCAGCATATAAAAAACTGCCAACAAAAACTGCAGTAACTATAAGATTATTTGAACGTAACGAATATTATACATGTCATGGAGATGATGCACTTTTTATTGCAAGAGAATTGCTACGTTCGACAAATGCATTGAAATATTGGAAAACATCAGGTACAAGGGCAATATGGAACGAAAAAGGAAAATAATTGATTGTGTTCTAGATGGAAATAAGCCACTTGAAACAATATATGTATCAAATAAACAATTCGAAGATATTCTTCGTCAACTTTTGCTAGTTAAACAATATCGTGTTGAAGTTTGGAAAAAACCACAAAAAATATCAAACGAATGGACATTAGCATATCATGTAAGATTGAGGAAAATCTTCACTGTAGATTTTCTACAATAATTCACTAACTAATATTCGACACAAGATTCAAAATAAATGTATTCACTGTGGCTGAAATTTTCAGAATATTCTTTTTAGTTGATTGATTAATAATGTGTAAATAAAGTCAAACATCATTCTATAAGGACGGCTTCACTTAATGAATCCCTGTTTAGCTTTTCCAAGTCACATTTTTTCAGAAAAATCCTATGCCGAAGAATTATTTAAAATAGAAATTCTTGGTTTGTATGCATGATTTTAACTTATTCTCTGTATGCATATGTAGGGATCACCAGGAAATTTGACTCAATTTGAAGATATTCTTTTTTCATCATCATCTATTTCTCAAGAATCATCCGGTGTACTTTCATGTAAATTAGCAACAGAAAATGGTGTTATCGTAAGTAATTTATCTGTGACTTTAGATGCGCTCAATGTTATTATCGCTATTTAGGTGGTTGGCTTAGCATTGATCGATGTGCAAACGTTAACAATTAAATTATGTGAAGTAACTGTATCTACTCATTATTCAAATTTAGAAGTAAGAATAAATATTTCATTGGAAATTCTTTCTCAACTTTGTTTCTTTATTTCAAAGACAATTCTTGTTCAACTTGGTCCAAAAGAATGTTTATTACCAACATTTACATCAACCGAAGATAATTATTTACAATTGAAAAAAGTGATTGAAAAATCAGGTGTACTTGTTACTGAGCGACCGAAGGGTAAAGAAAGGAAAATATTATTACATCACGATATTTAATTTTTTTTTCTTTAGCTGATTTCGTTTCCAAAGATATTAAACAAGACCTTTGTCGGCTTCTTATTAAAGGAAAAAATGAAGATAATGAAAAATTTGAAATGAAAGTTGGTGTTATGCGTAAGTTTTATCATTGGTGTTTTTTGCAATATATGTTTCGCTTTTTTGTTTTCTAGCTGAAATGCAAATGGAACATGCGAAATGTGCATTATCAGCTGCTATTAAATTTCTTCAAGTAAAAATGATGCTTTATCATCTACATCTTTCTATTCATTTATTTTAGTTACTTGGAGAAAAGAATCAATTGAATCGATTTCATTTAAAAACACATCAACCTGATCTCTATATGCGACTTGATACAGCAGCTATGATTGCACTTAATATTTTTCCTGATAACCGACAACGGCCAGATTTCAGTTAGTTAAACTTCAATTTTCTAAATGAATATATGGTTTTTGAGATTTTTATATAAAAACACTTTCTCAACGTTGGGTTTGTGTAAAAAGAAAGCCAGTAGCTAGCTAATTCCTTCCCTACTAAATGCTTGGTTTCTTTTTATGTGAATCCTAATCCAGAGTAAATATATTTGAAATTATTTAGGTGCTCATTCAAAATCTTCAAATCTTTATGGTTTACTTAATAATTGTCGTACAGCTCAAGGACAACGATTACTGATGCAATGGTTAAAACAGCCACTCACCGATGCAGCTAAAATTAGTATGCAACTGTTTTTGTTTATCTTAATTTGATAAGATTAAATTTATATTTGTATAGATGAACGATTGGATATCGTTGATGCATTTGTCAATGATACTGGTATTCGAAATTATATTACGCAAGATTTTCTCGGTCGTATACCTGATTTTGAACGGCTCGTACGAAAATTCATTCGAAAAAAAGCAAATCTTGAAGTAAAAATAAGTTCTTAAAATTGAATATTTTGTTTTCTAATTTTATTTCCACTAGGATTGTTATAAAATCTATGTTGCTGTTAATAAAATGCCAAAATTAGTTGAATACATCAATGATTTCAATGGACCTACTAAAGATGTACTTCATCATCTTGTTGTTCAACCGATTCAAGTAGCTAAAATACAATTCTATGAATTTCAGAAAAGTTTAAATTATCATTTTTAGGGAATGATCGATATATTTAGTAAATATATTGAAATGATTGAAACCACAATCGATTTAAATCGTATCGGAAATCATGAATATGTTATTAAACCTGATTATGATAAAGATTTAAAAGGTTCATCGATATGATTTTGAATAATTGGTCAGTAATGTAAATTTTTGTTTTTAGAATGCCGAAAAAAACAAGATGAATTAGAATCAAAAATGCATGATGATTTAGCATCTATATGTGAGAAACTATCTTCACATTTATCTTCGACACCGAGTCGTGCATCAATGTCAAAAAGAACTGGAACAGAATCATCAAGAGAACCGATAAGATTAGTTTATGATCCAAAACAAGGTGGATGGTTATATCGTATAAATCGTAAAGAAAGTGCAACTTTACAAAAGCAATTACCGAATATAACAATACAAGTAACGAAAAAAGAAGGCATTTTCTTTCAAACACC